TTTGAGTGCTTTATTGCATTTTAACATCACGTCGTTCTCGTTGGTAGACCCTTCATAATCCCATATCTATCTCAATTAGTTTTAGGTGTTACAATTAACCGTTAACGAGTAACGAAGTACCAGTGTGACAAACTTAATAATTTTTGCGTTACTTGGTAACATCAATCAGCTGTTTGATTTGCGTCGTAGCCTAAAAGTGGATTTAATAATTGCGATAAAATATATTTGCTGCTCCCTACAAAATAATTTTAGACAAATTTTTTCAAAATAAGTATTTAATTAAATTGAATCAAATGTTTTGAAACAAAATTTACCACACTACATAGAGCAAAAAGTATGTTCACAGAAAGTGTTTTAACGAAGTATAATCAAACGAATTACCAGAATTACCTCTGTAGCAACATTTAAAGAAAATATGATTTCCATTTTTGTTGTAACATTAAGAACAACAATAAAATTACGCATTTTAAAAACATATCTCCGCTCCAGATTCCAAACAATTTTATTTCTTGTTGAAGCCAGTTACCGTCAAAACCTTTCTCACGCGTTCGAAGAAAGACTTATTTGCCGATTCGATATTGATAATCTATAAGCCAATTAATGTTTTTTTTTTGTTTAAATTAATACGACTCAATTAAGGCTCAAACAGTCCTATTGAGTTTAAGGAACTGTTTTTAGTGTAAGGCGTTATTATCTGGTCGCGATATTTTTATGTATGGTTATGTAAAATTGTAATGACACCTTATAATTGATTTGATAAAAGGAGCCTTAGCTAACAACTAATCAATTTTTTGCAGATTCCAAAAAGAGAAACATTCAATAAACTACTCATAAAAAGTTTTTGACTTAAACTAAAATATAACACGATTCAATCCTGGTTCAAACTTTCGCCACCAGAAGAAGCGATGGATAAATTCAAATTACCTTTATTTATTACCGAATTCTTATTGCTTTAGTAATTTCTCAATAATTTTTGTGTATTCAAAAAATAGGGATTTATTTTACATAATTCTCAGTACCGAATAAATGGCAAAAATATCCATCAAACGTCTCACTGGCGCGCGCGATGCGCGTCATTAGCAAAGGATATTGACTTCTTTTTTGCATATTTCAATAAATCGCATTCTTTCGCACTTACTCAATCATTCATTCAATAATAACACACGCACACTGGCTCTCTGACGCTTCGACGGACTCAGATTTAACAGTAAATTCTAAATTGAATTTCCAATTGAATGCATTGCATTGCTTTGTGAATGGTTGGCCGATATGCAATATCAGTCCATGACCTGTACTCATACATACACTATTTGTATATGTATACATATGTACATATATTTTATAAAGAATAAATGGGCACAATATCAAATTTTCGCCCTTGAAGGATTCAAAAAATATTTGTTTTCTAAAGCCGCTTGAGCCACATGGAGAAGCTACAATCACAACCGACAGCTAAACGATTTCCTATTCGACTTGCACTCCTTCTTATAGTGTAGTGAAACCAGACTGCCTAACTTACAATGCTGCAATCGATCACAACACGAGCGGGCTGTGATAGATACCGGGAGTTGAAGAGGAAAGCGAGACATATGTATATGCAGACAAAAAAAGAAAGAGGCCGAAATGCGTGAGTATGAAGAGTAGTCTGAGAGCTGACTTTGCTGCCACTTGCTTACAGAAGTCTGTTGACAGTAAATGTAAAATGACATTTAGTGCCTGGCTTGGCATTGTTCTAAGAGCTCCACTAATGCATATACTGGCTGATCTTTGTATATTTTCCATACGCCTTACCGCGTATTTCTTTTCTATTATTGGCCACCATATCAATATACCGCATGTCATGATTGGTCTAACAACGACTGTGTAGAACCAATAAGCTATCCGAGGTGTTAGCCCCCATCCTTTTACAGGTTTAGAGTGCCGTAGCTGCTTTCCTCACTCTTGTTTTTATTTCCATGAGAGCTTCCTGTCTAAGATTAGTCCTAAGTAGCTTGCCATATCTCCGATTGTAAGTCTGCTACCATTTAATACTGGAGCCGTAACTACTGGAGTATTATGTTTTCTGGTGAACAAGCTCCGTCTTACTAGCATTTAAGTTTAGTCCGCACTAACGATTTATATAGTCTAAGATTGTTTGCATAAGGGTTGCGAGAGTATTCGGGAATTTAACTCTAACCGAAACGTCAGCGTAGGCCACAACATTTACTCCCTTCTTTACTAGATAAAACAGCAACTTATAATATTTATTGTCAGGATTCAGAGGAGTGGGGATAGCACGCCTCCTTGTAGTGTACCCCTTTGGACAGATTTTATTTCAGAGATGTCCAGATCTTTAAGCGCACTCAGTATGGCCCTTGGCTGGATATTATTGAAGGCTCCTTCTATATCTAAGAAGGCAATTAGAGGGTATTCATAACATCCAGAGATTTTTCAATCTCCGCCACCACAGAGCTTAGTGCTGTTTCTGTGGATTTTCCTTTTGAATACGCATGTTGCGAACCAGCCAACTTTTCTGGACTTACGTTGCTCCTTATATGTAATTCTATTAGCTTTTCCAACGTTTTTAGGAGTGAGGAGAGGCTAATTGGTTTGAAATCCTTGGACTTGTATGCGAGCTTTTGCCTGCCTTAGGTATATATATTAGCTTGACTTCCCTCCAAGGCGAAGGGATATAATTAAATTGCAACCTTTAAGAATGGTAACTAGCCAATCTATTATGTAATTCTGCGACTGCGGTAATTGAGCCGGGAATAGACCGTCTGGTTTAGGCGACTTAAAGGGCTTGAAGTTATTTATTGCCCAGTGTACGTTGCTTTCTGACACTGTGTTTATAAGAGTGGAGTCTATTTCTGATCCGCTGTCTTGAGTATATTATACAGTATGGCTTTCAGAGCTACCTGGGATGTGGGTATCCATTAGTAGTCCTAGTGACTCTTCACTGGATACCGTCTGAGTTCGGTCTGGCTCCTGAAGATATCCAATACTATGCACCGATTGTGCCATTATTTTCCTAAGCCGAGATGCTTCCGCCGTGTTCTCGATATCATTACAAAACGATATACAAGAATTTCTTTTCTCCTACCTTCCTTTTTGTATGACCTAAGGAGGTTGTAATAATTATCCCAGTCTGACTCGCCTTGTAGCTTAGCTACATTGAATTGCTTTCTGTATTTTTTCTCTAATTTTTTAAGTTTGGGAGACCACCATCGGGAACTAATTCAACCCCTACTTCATGTTATTGGACAAGCGACTTCTAATGCTTGCCGGCAAGATTCCGTGAATCGATTAACGACGATATCGGGGTCCTCCTTTTGGGCTGAAACGGAGGAATCAAAAGGATACGTTTTTCCAGCACTTGTCAGTTTGTTTTCCTATGATTCCTGACATTATTGCTTTTATTGGCCTTATCCTCTATTATCTTGTAATGAAAGTTGGCATACTTCCCTTATTACACAACAGAAGTTTAGTGCCTAGGGGCCGTCCATAAATTACGTCATCAATTTTTTCAGATTTTAGACCCCCCCCTCCCCCCCCTATAATCATCCTATCGTCATTTCTTAATGACCCCCCCTTCTCCCAAAATTGACGTCATTACTAGTTCGACAAAATAAAACATTGCAGATTTGAGAAAAATAGGGTATTATATGATTAAAACACTTGGTTATAGAATCACCTTTTATTATTATACTTTGGCAATAATCATTGATATAATTTCTTTGGGTCAAATTCACTCTTCAGTTTACGCCATATTTCATCGCAAAGCTTTTTTGCGGCTTGAGGAGTTTTATCAAAATATCGTCTCTTCACAGCAGAAAACAATCGCTGGTACACTTTTTGTAAGTCAATAACCATCGCGGATCGACTATAGTCGACTCGGTGGCGGTGCGCGCCAAAGACAAAGGAAGCCGACTTTGTTTAAACAGCGCCGATTTCTTTTATTCTCCGAGTTGCCGCCAATCTTCGTTTAATAAACACAGTGTCGCATACAAACTATTTTCATAGGTACGATGTTATTTATAGTTTAAAAAAATTATGTAGACATGCCATGCTTGACCTTGTAATAAATAAAAAATGAGTTCAATAATTAATACCATTAAATACTTGAAAAATATCACAAGAACATTATCTTTCCTTAGTATGAGACATGTATTTAAATATAAGTATAGTATTAATATGTACTTTTATTAATTATGTAATGTTGTAGTTATTATTTAAGTATTGTGTTTATTAGTATGCTTAGATCTTTAAAACTACGCAACGGATTTTGATGCGGTTTTTTTAAATAGATAGACTGATTCTTAAAGAAGCTTTATATGTATAATACATGTAAGTATAACGGGCGAAGCCGGGGCGGGCAGCTAGTATTTTACTAGGTGTGCTGGAAGAAATTTATTTTTAGAAATAATCTTTTTGTACGTGAAAAATAAACTATAAATAAATAAATAAGAATGACGTCAATTTCACTCTAGCTTTGAAAGTATTAATTTCAGTACCCGCCGGTGGAAACAGAGGAAGAGGAAGACCTCCACTTCGTTGGAGAGATTAAGTGCAAAAGGACCTGGCTGCATTTAATATCTCCAATTAGCGCCAAATAGTGACCGTGTAAGCAGTCTCTATGCCAGTAAAGAAACCAGAACTTAACCAGAAACTTAAACAGCAATATATCAGAGTCACGCGAAGTCTCTTGAACTAATTTGACAGTTGTTAGCGGTTTGCTTGCTTAGTGTTCGCTCTATGAAGGACTATTTTTATTTACCTGTCTTGAAGGTTCAGGCTTTGCGTTCTATTTATTAAATAAGTAAATTGTCAAGGCAAAGAATTTAATTATAACAACCGTTTGTTTATTTATAGAACGATGATTATTAGAACCATAAAAAGTATATATTAACGCTTCTTAAAAATGTAATAAATACAGTTTAATTTCCAACGGATAGAATTTCATCGAAAGAGTTTTGTACTTCCTGTATTTTACACCAAACAATTTACTTTGTAATTGAAATCAAAATTGAATGAAGGAATATATAACGATGAAAAATATTTTTTTATTTTCATATATTGAAAGAATATTTTATATATGTAATTTTTTTCGGAATTGTTTTCCCCCAGCACATTGAATTCAATTAATTTGACGTGGGCATACTTTCATAAAATAAATAAATATATTTAAATAATAAAGCATTTTCACACAACGATGGACTCGGATACCGTAAACTGTACACCTAACCCTATTTTCAAAGAATTGACGCAATTATTTTTAGACAACTTTGGGACCAATGCTTTACCAGCCGGTAAGTAACACCAGTTCTTACGTTTAAAGATCGGTAATAAAAAATAATTAAAAGTTTCTAACATACAAACTAAATCAGTTTGACCTGTTTTGGACCTACATATTTTATACGAGTATATGTACATATATATATATACATATACACATAAACAATTAAATTATTTTTTTAAATAGGACTACAAATATTTCTAGTACGGTATAATAAAACTTTGTTAACTTTAACCATCATTGAAAGGCGAAAAACCTACTGAAAAGCCATGTAGATTGACCTGGATGAAATATTTTACATAGGTTTCTCCATACTATGCAAAATATGGGAAGTTGTGGGTTTAATTAGAACTTTTTCCATCGTTTAAATATACTACCAGCTATCAGCAGTATAGCCCATTGGCCTAAATTTTAGCAAGCTTTTGTACAGTGTACAATATCGTATTTTCGGTTCCTCCAGCTGGTTCACAATACACATATTTTTATACTCTTGATGCAAAGTATACTAGTTTTGTTCACCTAACGGTTGTTTGTATCACTTAAATCTAAGCGAGATAGATATAGTAGGATTATATTATATTTATATGAAAAATCAGAATAACGAAACGAGTTAAAAGCCGTGTGACTGTCTCTCCTTGTAAGCGATAACTTGAGTAAAAATTTAAATATCTGGATGAAACTTGGTTATATATTTCTTGGCGATTCAACCGTTTTCTATCAAATTCGGTTGGTAAGATTATACTGACATTCCTACATTACAGTGCAAGGAGCGAAATCAGACGAAAAAAACTACGCCTACTTCCCATATAACATAATTTTAAATTTCATCTTTTCTTTCCCTTTCCAGTATAGAAATCAAAACCTAGTCAATACTTCCGGTGCCATATAAAGACAGCCGAAGTTCGAAAATCTTTCTATTAGGTACATGAGGGTTAAAGGAATTATTGACCCGATTGAACTCATTTTTGAAAAAATAATTGAAAAAAATACAGAAAATTCAATTTGAATGAAAATGTTTATTATCGGTCGAAACAACATTCTTTGTCATTTATTCTTTGAGGAACTGTAGCCGCGGCTAACGTTCTAGCATTTCGACTGGTAACTGGAAAATGACACATGATGCTTCGTTCCAAAACCTGAATCGAAGTGGGATCATCGGCATAGACTTTAGACTTTACATATCCCCACAGGAAAAAGTCTAACGATGTGATATCACACAATCTTGGTGGCCAATCGACCAGCCCAAAACGTAAAATTATCTGCTCACCAAAGTGTTCTCTCATTAAATCCATTGATTAATGCGTTGTGCGGGAAGTGGCGCCTAGATCACGAGCTTCAATTTCAGGCATCAAGTAGTCGGTTATCATGGCGCGATAACAATCGCCATTGTCAGTGATTCCACCGGCCTACAAACCATACCAAACCGCTGTTTTTTCTGGACCAAATGGCAGCTCTTGAATCTAGTCAGGTTGCTCTTCGTCCCAAATGCAACAATTTTTCTCATAGATCCAGCCGATGTCGCTTGGAAAGGTCGAACGGCTTCAGTTCTTGCACAAGCTGTATTTTGACGCTTTCAATTTAAGATCTCGACGTAAAATGCGCCAAGTCGTTGAATACGTCAGTCTGAGTTACTGCGAACGGCGCTGCTGAACAAAAATAACAGCTTGACACGACTCACGCGTTATCTGCCAAAAAAAGCTATTAAAAACCCGATTACACCCGTACTTAGCCCTTTCTTGCTTGTCTTTAATAAATAACTGTATTTTATTTTTCAGAATATGTGATAGGAGATACCTATGGTCCAAAAACGAACAAACAAGATTTCGGTGAACTATTTTTGGTGTTCGACATACTTATAGTACTGGCTGTTTTATGTATTTTCGTATTACTTATGATGTAAGTAGTGAGTGAGTAGTTACTAGTACTATTGAATGAGTTTATTACAATTGGAAGTTCTTAAATTGACATCGTTAATCGTTGTCGCCAATTTGTTGTTTATATTTCAGTCACTTAAGTTATTTTTATATTATATATAAAACCAGTGAGAAAAAAAAGTTTCAGACAAATGCATATTTTATCCCTTGGGGATCGTAAGAGAAACACGTGGTCAGATGCGTTTACCAAGAATAACATTCAAATCTAACACAATTTTTATTTAACAATGATAGCAAATAATCGATTTACATATGTGAAGGAACTCTACAGAGGAATGAACTTTTATAGCCGGAAGTTAAGGACCTAGTTTCACGATGGCGGTTCGATAAATCCTTAGCAAAACAACAAAAACAAATAAAACTTTTGAAGAGTGGCAATTTATTTCTCAACAAAATCTCCGTTTAGCTCAATACACTTGACCAAACAATACTCCAACATTAGACCATTTCGCCATTACACCATTTTGCGTGGAATCACCTGCCAAAATTCATTGTTTTTTTCGACTGTTCGGTGTAGAATGGGGTCCACATATTTGGTGATATACCTTGAAGCCACTATTTGTGCAAAGTTTTATTCTGATAACTTCATTGATGTTTAATTTCGACGGTGTAGACACGTTGCAGAAACTAATTCATGTTTCGCTGGATCGATAACGCACATTTTTAACATTAAACTATATTAATATAACCAAGATTATACCTTCACTTATTAAATATTATAAATTGACCGATATATACGGATGTTTGAAATTCTATATAAGAACTCGCATCAGTTTTCTTCCATATACCTTAATGGGAGCTAGGGAATATTTTGATCCACTTTTATCCAGTTTTGGTACTAGGAGATATCATTACCAGAAATTAATGACATCCGAATTTCATTAAGAAACCTCACAGATTTACCAGTATAAGTATGAGCTATAAAGTCAAGCGGATGTATGCAAATCCGTATATTTGGTATATGTAAACTAAGGGAAATATTGCCGTTATTAGAAAGAGATTTCTCTTGAATAGATGTCTTCCACATTGGCCGATAGCTGCGGTATAAAGTCAACCGGAAGCTCGAAAGTATTTATATTAGGTATACCATATAGGGTGCTATAATCTCAAAAATGTTTTCCCGAACTTCAATACTAGATCCCACAGCTCGACGGATATGTTCGGTAAATTAGCCATATGTACTGGGGTCCACATATTTGGTGATATACCTAGAAGCCACTATTTGTGCAAAGTTTTTATTTATTTTATATAGATAGTATACGTGGTTTGTCCTCCGATTTCACTTTCACAGAGTATGATAGGAATGTTTGGGTAACTTTACCCACCAAATTTTGTTGAAATTGGTCAAATAGTTCCTGAGAAATGGGACTTTACCTAAAGGTGGGCGGTAACGCCTTTCCATACCATCTAATTTGTGAAATTTAATGCTTGTGATGGATTTATTCATTGAGTTATCGCAATACATAACCCTTATTTGGAAAATGGGAGTGGTTGTTATCTGACATTGCATATGTTCACAGTGTATGAAAAAATGCTAAAAAAAACTTCATAGTAAGTTTGGTTGAGCTAGCTTTAGCGGTTTGAAAGATATGTATATTTAACCATAAGCCAAGTTTACCTAAATTTTTTAGTCCACAGGTGTCCCTGGCTACTGCGATTTCCTATACTAAATTACTGTTTTGTATCTTAATTTAGCGCTTAATCATCGCATTTTATAGGTTTTCCGTTAATGGCTCTTTGTGGGCGCGGCAAGGACGGCATAAGGAATATGTGCACCAAGTTTTATCAAGATATTTTAATTTTAAGTTACGGCTTGCACGGATGGACAGACAGACACTCCTGATCATATATTTATATATTTATAACTTCATATGTATCGCGATTTTTTTGGCGATGCAAACAACTGTTAAGTGAACAAACCCCTTATATTCTGTAGCAACTTTTTGCGATAGTATAGAAATTATAAATGTTTAAACTTTATAAAGCGATATACCTACTTTTAGTATTAAAATTTCCTTTGGAACTCTACTAACGAAGTTTATTATTATTAGGTTTTATATAAAAAAATTCTGCTTTTATTTTTAGGATTCTTCTCTTAATATGGTACTGCAAAAGATGCAATTGTGAATCAGAACCATGCAGGAGAATAAAATTATGGACAATGTTAATAACTTCACTCTTACTGATTTCGCTCATATTGTCAGCGTAAGTACTCCTAGAAATATAAGTTTTATTGCTTTAACTAAAAAAAAGCCATAAAAACCGGTTGCACTGGATTTTAATCGGTCTATTTGTATGCTTTAGTAATTTGATCTAAACAATTTCTTTAGAAATTACACCATTGCCTTAGACAATAATCCATACTAAATTTATTGAAGATATCTCGTCAAATGAAAAAGCTATTAGGAGTATATAAAGTTTGCCACAAAATTTGTAACACCCAGAAGGAAACGTTGGAGATCCCATCAAATATATATAGAAATGATCAGCGTGACGAGCTAAGTTAATTTAGTCATGTCGGTCTGCCTGTCTGTTTATTTATATGCGAATTAGTCCCGCAGTATTTAGGATATCATACCGAAATTTTTTTACACACGTCTTTATTCCGCTCTAGAAGCTGCTCATTTGTCGGAACCACCGATTCGGATCTTTATGGCATATAGCTGCCGTAAAAACTGTTCGATCAAAATCAACTTCTGTATGGAAACTTTATTTGCGAAGAATATTATAGCTTCGGTGCCGCCGAAGTTAACGTTTTTTTACTCTTACGGTACTGTTAAAAACTACTAAACGCGCTATAAATCAATAAATAAATACGCCAGAGACATTAAAAATTAGGCGTTGGGCTTGGCGCCGCCCATATTTAGCTGAAAACCCGTATCTAGCGCCCCGCTTGACCGGTATTAACCAAATTCGGTAAGTAGTATTATTCTGACATTTTTATGCCGCGGTGTGAAAATGGGCGATGTCGATCCATCTGATTCTTTCACTTTCCAGTAAACAAATAAGGCAGCAATGAATGTATCGGGATAAAACTTACGACTCGAAAATGTATCAGCTATGACCAAAAATTATCTAGATCGAAATAAAACTGTTCAAGCCCCCAGGTACCGAATATATTCACCCCAGTTCCTATTGCGAACTTTTTATCGAAAATATCGGCCAATCTGTGAGATATATTATAGAATCGGATTAATAATTCCCTTAGTCCCCATGTACCTAATAAAATATTTTTGAACTTCTGGCTGACTTTAGACCGCAAATATCGGTCAATATGTGAGTTATCTTAATGAAATTAAAAGAGCGTGTGTTTCTTATAACATTGTATCTTTCTGCATAAAATTGATAAAATCGTGTTAAAAATTAATACGTATGACTAATATCAGGCTTTTAAAACATCCAGTAAAGTTTACCCCGCATATATTGGCTATGGTATATGAGGTACCTTATTGAAACTCAGAGATCATCTTTTTCTGTGGTAATGGAAAAAGTGGATAATAGCGCTTTTATACTATCCCTATCTCTCATATACGAAATATAAGATTATCAAACTTCTGATCGACTTTATACCGTATATATCGATCAATATGTAAGATATCTTAACAAAATTAACTGAACGGATAATATTGAGAATACTGTTGTTTAATGTCTCATATACCACATATAATATAACATGATATTCGTTACTCTAACAAACCCAATGCTCAATATGTCGGTCAGTATATGAGATATACTTGTATATTTAAAAAATTAATTGAAGGAATTTACCCGGATGTGATCCTTGCAAGTTGCAAAAGTATGAAATGTGGATACACCGGAACTTAGCCCTTCTTTACTTGTTCTTGTTTTTATATATTTTTTTAATGTATGCAAGCTTATCTTTCGATTTGCTGATTTCACATAATTATCCTTTGGTTCATCGATAGTTTCGGGCTCTACATTGTCTTCAAAAACATTGCATATCTAAAGAAAATATATACAAAACCCGAAGATCCAAAAGGTAATGAATTCAATACGATCGGCGGGGTTGTATCCAAAACCCTGGGCAACGATTTTGAACAATTAAAGGACGATTCAATTTCTAATTGCATGAATTCCGGTAAGCCGAAAATTTTTTGTTAATTTACAAACAGCTTTTTTAAAAGTAAATAGTACTGCTTTTAATACTTATGCCATATAGTATTTTTTATCATTCCTCATATGCTGGTAAAGTTTCTTTATACATTCAGAATAAATGATAGCTAAAAATAGTAGAACTTTTAACAATATAATTGATAGCCGAAGAGTTCGTTATTCAACTGCATACAGCATTCATTCATATTTGCGTACATATATAATGTTAGATTTACTTAAGGATCTTTACCCTGCAACAACGAAAATGCGAAAAATTTCAAAAGCTAACATGACGATGTACAAACGATATATAGAAAATTACATTATGCCAGCTTTTCCCAATACATTACTATATGATGATGGTAAGTGTGCTGAAAATTCTTGAAAAACCGACCATATTAACTAAATATAGATGACTATTTAAAATTATTCTATCCAGTATACCGAATGTTTACAAGAAATTTTACTGCCTTTGTGGCTAAGGGAAAAAAAGGACTAAGTATCCTTAACGAAACTAATGCCGTTCAATATAGCAATAATTTATTTTCATTAGAAGACGTAAGTATTTCCAGCCAAATAAATTAGGAAAAATTAAACTTAAATTATATAAAATTAAATTATATTAGGTAAAGTAAAAAGTTCGTTCGGTTTTTTATTGATTTTTCAAAATATGATAACTTTGTGTACATTTGTCCGATTTAAGTCAAATATGCGCCGTTGTTCGTAAACTTGTTGCCAACGAGATGCCAATCTCATTATACCGCTCTCGTAGAAGGCTGCGTCCCTATTGGCAAAAAACTCGGAGAGCTTATTTTCACAGGCCAACTTCTCACCATTAAGCGCGTTCTCCATGGACAGGAAAAGATGGTAATCACTTGGTGTCAGGTCCGGACTATAAGGTGGGTGCATTAGGACCTCCCATCCGAGCTCCCGGAGCTTCTGGCACGTCACCAAAGACGTGTGTGGCCTGGCATTGTTCTGATGGAACACAATTCGGCCGCTGTCTCTTCTGGATGAGTGCTGCCTTCAAGCGGTCCAGTAGAGGGCCGAATTGAGCATTTGGCCATAGGGGAGCAGCTCGTAGTAAATGATTTCTTGCGAATCCCACCACACACGCAGCAAAACCTTCCTGGCCGTCAATCCGGTCTTGGCCACCGTCTGTGCCGCTTCCCCGAGCTTTGACCACGACCGTTTACGCTCGATATTGTCGTAAGTGACCCATTTTTCATCGCCAGTCACAAGCCGCTTCAGAAACGGGTCAATTTTGTTGCGATTCAGCAGCGATTCGCAGATGGAAATTCGGTCCATGATGTTTTGCGTTAGTTCGTGTGGCACCCAAACATCGAGCTTCTTTTTGAATCCAAGGTTATTTAAATGGTTCCAAACGGTTTTCTGGCTTATCTTTAGTTCCTCAGCAATTAAATAAGTGCTCACGTGACGGTCTGTTTCCACTTTTTCCATGATTTTATCGCAATTTTCGACGACAGGTCTCCCGGTGCATCTTTGACATCGAAATTACCTGAACGGAACCTAGCAAATCACTTTTGTGCTACACGTTCGTTTACAGTATCGGGCCCATAAGCTAAATTATTTTTTTCAGCCGCTTTGGCTGCTTTTTCGCCTTGATCGAAGAAAAATTGTAAAATATAGCGAATTTTCTCTTTGCTGGTGTCCATCTTTTACGAGCGCTCACAACGTTCTGAGTCAATCAATCGAAAAACTGTCAAAGAAAAACTTTTAGCGCGAATAAACACATGACATGATGCGACACGTAACACTAGTACTATGGACAATAACGGCATCTCTTAAATAAAAACTGAACGAAGTTTTTACTTGACCTAATATTTTATACACTCGCAACATTTTACTATAAAACGTCATAGTTTCACCTAATGGTTGCTTGTAACACCTAAAACTAATTGTAATAAATATAAAGTTATATATACGTTAGGTTGGGTAAAAAAAACGAATTTTTTTTTTTTCGTTTGGTACTCTGAAAATTAGGTTCTTAGACACCTCTACGAAAGTCTCTCCACGTAAGGGCTCTTAATCATAACATTTTTTTGTGGAAAATTGAATGCTCTACAACGATCTTTTCGTAAACCTAACCATTTAAAATATTTTAACGGTTGAAATTTGATTATTAGCCCGTTTTATCCCTTCTTGGCATCACTACATATTATGTAATTACCAGAAAAAGACACTCTGAAATTCTAAAGGAAAAGCGCACACCCAACGTGGTTTACATATTTTGGTCAACATGACTTTAGATCGTTTTATTTGCAGAGCTGTTAGATTGACCTGTATGTCTTTATGTTAAAATCTAATGCCAAATAGAGTATTTTGTCTTCTAAAATTGACGATTAGAGTTTTGCACTTTTGACCACTCGTCTAAGTAGCTGTTAAGTGGCTGCAACAAAAATGTGTTTTAAATTTTTTTAAGAATTCATATCCTTTGGATAGACTCTGAAGGCCTCCTATAAGGCAAAAGTTGCATACGATTTGCTTACTATGAGTAGGCCTCTAACTCTTTGTAACGCCCTTATCTACAAAAGGTGTAAATATCGCGATAGTGTTCTATTCATATTCATAAAAGATAGTTGGTTTGACAGTTTATACTTATCCGAATAAATTTAATGCAAGATTATTACTCGCCGATGTAGCATAAACTCAACAAACAATGTTATCTTTCATAGTGTACTGCTCATACCGTCATAAGCTGACTTTTTCCTTTTTTCTAAACAGTGGGGGAAATTATACCATTCCTCAAATAAGATTTCAGACATCCTGTCTTACTACGCCATAACTGTGCAGTCGAATAGAAGGAGGTCACGTGTGTGTACCCATATTAAGGATTATTTTGATGAAATATGTATGTATTCATATGTACAAGTATATATTTTTGTAAGGGTAAGAAATAAGAGTTGTGCCAAATCTTCAAGTGCGTCCACGGCTTAACTCTCTTTTTTTGTAGACTTGAAGCTTTGACAATCTATTGATCTATATATCGATTCGATCTAGTTTTTCGAAATCGAAATCAAAATAAACTTGTTTTCACTGAAATCTAGCTTTATGTACCAATTATATTATATGTGGAAAGTAAAAACAAATTTAATCCGAAAATTCAAATATATTAAAATTAGCCTAATATCTTCATTTCGTTTCCTGCAAATCTGATCGAATCGAAATTCACAACCTAATCATTACTGGAAATTAATATTGAACAATTACAAATTTTTATATTCAAAAGCGGTGGGCGTTAATCAACAAAGAAATTTTATAAACGAAAAAGTCAAAACACTCTTTCAGAAGAAAATGACGGAACGTAATGCTCCATACAAGTTTGGTTACATTATATGTATAATAGCCATTGCGGTAAGTATATTTCAATGCGACTTTCAAAATACCAACGACTATATATACTATATCATAAATATTCAAATAAAAAGGAGAGGGCGGGGTTATAATCCGATTTCATCCATTTTGGCACTGTCGGTTGATTTGCTCTGAGCAAATTTAATTAGTGTAGCTTTTGTGGTTTAGGAGATATTTACATTAAACCTATTAAAAACGGGGCCGTTTCCTTTTTTTAAGGGTTAGCCCACAGGTGCTCCTTGCTACTGCAGTTATTTGTACCAAAGTATAGGTTTATATCTTAATTTAGTGCTTAATTATGGCATTTTATAGGTTTTCGATTAATGGAGTTTTTTGGGTGTGGCGGTGGTCCGATTACACCCATCTACGAACTTCTTTTTTTGCCAATGAACACGTACACAAAGTTTTATTACAATAGCTCAATTTCTACTCAAGTTACAGCTTTCACAGACAGACAAACGGACGGACAGACAGTCACTCGGATTTCAACTTGTTTCACCATCCTGATCATTTATATATACATATATAACTCCTTATCTAACTCGATTAGTTTAAGGTGCTACAAACAACCGTTAGGTGAACAAAACTTGCAACATGTTGCAAGAGTATAAAAATTATAATAATAAATATAATTTTAAATAAAATTCCAAATACCGAGAAAAAATCATACCTCAACCATCATTGGAAACATTGCACAGAACAAAAATGCATTGCACATAGCACCGAAAAAAACTTTGATTATCAATGAGATTACCGGAAATATTATTGAATTACCTTGTTTCAGCAGGCTAGTCTTGAGATGGCTACAGTTTCGCATTGATTTAACTTTTGCGATCTTATGAATAAGTCTCAAAACCAAAAATATCAATTTTCAGCTTAGATTTCTAAAATTCATTGTTTTGTCCATTAACAAATTCGGTATTTGTATCAGTCAATTTCAAGTACAATCCCTTGTATTCTTATACTCATAATATCATTTTCGCCTTTATATATTATTGAATAGTTTATTATAATAGTAGCAGTCATCCATTCGCCAAGCGTTACTCTCCAGCGAATCGAACAGACTATACTAGAGCTCACTTTTGCTACTGTGAATGGTTCATATGAAATTATATCTTTTTTTCCTGTATTTGAAAACATAAGACTTAAAATCGATTATTGTAATTTATAGAAAACCAAAATATATGGTTACAGCAACGTTTTACGCAAAAACAGAATTTTTTCTCTAAGAAAGAATCATAACACTATTGCGCATGCGCCAGAAGACATGTCTGCTCAGGGTTGCACCACAAGTTCTTCCCGTTAGCTTGTGCTTCTTGATTGATTTTATATAGAATGCATTACAACTGTATTGAGAAGTATGAAAAGAAATCGTTTTTGAACAATGAATAACATTTTTTATTTATTATATCGATATTATTATACATGTTTAGCTTAAAAATAATAAATATTAACAACTTTAAAAATGATATAATATTATTATATTAATTTGTATATAGTATTTACAATATTAAACATAAATTTTTGTAGAGATTCTTATACATATATCCAAATTATATTTCTTTTTTCCTTATACTATTTAATTTCTATCATATATTTATACAATAATAGTCAATATATAATAACAAATTAATTATATAATTTAAATTTTCTTAATTAGATTATTTACATATTTTCTCTTAAAATTGTCTTAAAAACTACTGTCAAAATTCCTATACCATTCCAATTCGATTATATTTGGAAAAAAAAATGAAGAACTATTGCACTAAGTCTGAAAACTTTAGTTCGAAATAGAGACACAAATACTGTCATGATAGCTGTGTACTGCCTCAAAAGTAATTGCATTTACACGGGAAGGATCCATGTTTAAAAATGCCCAATCAATTTGTGTACCGGCAGGTGTGGTTGAATATTCTGCACCAAGCAGGGAACTAAAGTTTTTTTTCTTGGAGCAGATTTCTTATTGCAGTCCCTGTAGACATTAAACAAATGTTAAAATCTCCAACAATTAGCTCATTTTGATTGCCTTACTCAGAAGTAAGGACTTCCTGAAGTTCTACAATTAATTGTCTGACAGAGAAAGCTGAATTTCTATCATTCTCATTTAAACAAAACCGCTTCTAAAACTTTGCGGCCTGAATAAATTTTCTTTACAGCCTTTGATTCTATAGAGCAAGCAATACTATGCTTTGCATATATTATAATGCCCCGTTTATTTCTGTTGGTTGTTCCGTGCTATCTATCCTCAGCTCGTTAATTGGAGTAAATCCTGGTATATCAAAACTTTCGCAAGGATAACTCCAAGTTTCTACAAAACATAAAATATCTGAAGATAGCATCAAACAGTCGCTTTTTATATCATTAATGTGAGCGTGAAGACTCTGAACATTATGGAATAAAATTAGATGTCCTGATGTTCGGGAAATCATAAAATTGAAACT